ACTGTTCTCCCAAGACAGAAGGCAGCCTGGATGAGAACGGAACTGTGTGCTCAGGGAACTGTCACTGCCTTTGCAGTTTGGTCAACACCCAACTGTTCACTTGTGCCTTGTAGGCATCTCTGTCGTTCACAGTGTCCAGATGACGCTCCAACAGGATAAGAAACGTGAGCAGGTGTACCTACTAAATATGTGAAACACACCCCCCTCTCTTCCACTCCCTGAGAAGACGTATTTCTAAAGGGTGTGGAAAGTCACCTAAGAGGAAGACAGACAGTTAGAAAAAAAAATATCCTCTGTGCCTTTTTTTTTCCCCTAGCACACAAGAATGCAAGTGGGCTCAGCACATCAGCCTTCCACAGAAGATAAATGCCAGCCAATTAAAAATTCAGTTTCTTTTCTTTCAGCTAATTCCTCAGGTTTTGCTAATTAGCAACTAATAGCTCTGTCATCTAAGCTGGGAAACATAAGGAAGAAAACTGGCAGTGTGTTTTCAATCAAAGCATTTGCAAGGAGGAGTGAATCAGACTTTCCAGGAGGGCAGAAGAAAAGTAGTTATCTTCCCACAACTATAAAACTGTAAAAGAGACCTGAAATTTTAGAAAAGGGGGCATCTTTCTAAACCGTCCTCCCCCTTTAATAAAACCAGCAGGGGATCTACCCATGACACGACATGGTGAATCCAAGAAATGCCCCCCACCAAAAGACCCCTGCAGGGCCAGTGAGAAAACTGGACTCCACACAGGGAGACGGAAGACCACGGAACACGTGTTTTCGGGAACAGGGAAGAGAATAAAAGTTAAGTGTCAGCCAGGGTACAGGAATGCTTTAACTACTCTATCACCTGCCTTGCACGTTTATAAAAGCATAAATGCATGGTGGGGAGTTGAAAGCAGGGGGTGACGGTGGTTTGAAAGAGCTGGCTACAGATGGAACAGGAGCAGAACACGAGGGCTGAGAAATCTGTGCGCAGGAGATGGGGGTCCTCATCCTGACTCTGGTACAAGCAGGTCAGGTTCCTGAAATCCGGCCCCTCCCATTCTCTCCCCAATTATAAAGCGGGTCTGTCAGCACGACCGCACGTCTGAGCCAGGCAACTGGAACATCTACTTTCCTGCCGTGATATACAGCCTGTCCACAGCTTCCCTACACGAGAGAACTCCCCCTCCGCCCCCTGTGATGATTTGATTCCAAACACATGTTGCACATGTTTGAAGTGCCCACTATCCTTGGGTTTTCTTGTTTCTTCTCTTTTCTTTTTTAAAGTCAAACCCACAAACCTCAAATACTTTGAATCCCGCCTAAGTGCAATTTGTGAAGATGCAACATCGCATCCCCAAGCAGAATGAAGTCTTGTGCAACAAAAACTTTACAGATGTCCTTCTGAGGGGAAAAGCGATTTTCCCTTTTCCGGTCTTACAGGAAGCCTGCCCACACGTTAGAAATACAAAGCTAGTATATATAGAAGCACAAATTAGGCATCTTGGAAAGTCTGCATTTTCCAACCACAGAGAAACGCAGGAATGGCTGTGAGCGTTCACATACCCAGCTACGCTGGACTAGGAGAGCCTCTCCTCTCCAACAGTCTGGTGGGGCTGGCGGACGACTCCAAGGAAAAGGGAACAGCCTAAAGAGACGTTTCTTAACCTTGAGCTACTGAAGGTCTGCAGTGAACTTGACAAGGCCGCCGGCTGAGACAACATAAGGAAACGTGGTCAAACTTTGACATCGCTTTTTAAAAAGACGGTACTTTCCTCATCCATTAAAAAAAAAAAAATGCTTGGAAGATGTGTCACTGTCAGCTTCACACTGGTCATTTACCCGGATAATTCAATCCACATTAGGTAGCTAGATATTATTACAAAGTACCTAAAACAAACAAAAAAAACTCGTTACATGAGTAGAAGATGAAATAATCCAACAGGGTTCTTGAAAAAGTAAAGTCATACTCTACTGACTTCTTGAGGCTTAATTTAGGACATACTTAAATTATTTAATCTAAATACATGCCATACCTTTTACTTTTCCACATGTATTAAGTTTTTATTTGTTACATAAAACCCTTTCTGTGAGGGATCTAAAAACGTTAAAACTTCTCAAATGCGTGTGAAAGCTTTAACAGCTCTTTACTCCCCAAACAGAAAAAAATTACAGCCAGCCCACTAAGGTTCAGCGAGAGAGGACTGTGTCCAGAAGACCACAGTAACTGGTTCTAATCGCATATCCTTTTCCTAAGGTTCACAGTCCGCTCCATCTGTAAGCTGTGTTTATTTATATAAGATACTGACCTCGGGGAGGCAGGAGAGCAGGTCTGGTAGTGAAAAGCCGGTCTACACTGAACCAAAAGCAACTGCAACAGTAATGAAAAGACCTGGGTTTGGAGAGTGAACTCATCCCACACAGACGGTGGTGGTGAGGATGCTGGGGGGAAGAGGAGGAAGGAGGAACAGGAGAAGGGAGACGAGGCAGAGGAGGACAGTGCCCGTAATGACTGCGAGGCATCCACCACGAGCCAGAGATGGTACTGAAACTTCACTGGCCTCAGCTCCCTGAACTGTCACAAGGATGCCACGGGGCAGCGAGTCCTACATCACCCCCATTCAACAGTTAGGAAGCGATTCGTACAGGGATCTTAGAGCACAAGACCACTTGGTGTCGGTCACACAGCCATGAAGTGGCAAGGCTGGCCCCTGAGTGCCCTGATTGCTGAGCCCATCTGTGTCAGCCCTAGGACCCCCTGTCGCTATGATGTATGTCACGGCAACACCTATTCACGACCAACTGAGGCAGGGCGCTGGGATGGTTGGGTCAAAACAGCATTTGCCATCTGGTTAGAGACAACTTACCTAGCTTGTAAATTATCGGGGGATTTTATAGTGATTCAAACAATACGATGGGAAAAGCTAAGGATAACCAACCTATGGGTGCAACGTCCTCTAAACAGAGTGACAAGGAAAGGTTCCAAGCGCCACCAAGAGCTGTCCAGTGCCCTGAGCTAGTTCACCCTCCACTGGAGGCCCCGGGGGCAGGGATGGGCGAATCACACACAAGGACCACCAAGAGGGGATGAGGGCCCCAGGTGTGCAGAGAACCCAGCCCCCCAAAGGGCAGGGAGAGGATTCAACGGGCAAACCGTTGGAACAAACGGACCAAGAGCAAGCTGCAACGGCTCAGAGAGAAAGTTAACGGTCATCTGTCTACTTCCGTCGGCCAGAACAGAAGTCCTCCTCAGCTGTCCTGACCAATTAAATACCTCACTAATTAGCGGGCATCTGGAATAGGAAACAAAACATACCTATAGATGGGGAAAGTTGGTGCTCACAAATAAAGGGCAAAACTAGGCAGGGAACATGTGGCTAATAATCTAGACTTTATCCTTTTGCAAAAGTAAGCGTATCTCAGGGAATATTAATATAGGTAGAGAGGATGTGGATTTCCTCCTATTTTCTGCATGGATAACATCGAATCAACACCCAGAAACAAAAACACAATGTAGGAAACTTAGGAATGTGCTCAGAGAAAACCCTACAACACAATTTGTAACTTTCATTCCTAAAATAAAGGAAAAAGAAAATAAAACAAAATGAACCTCTAATGAGGGAAGGAAAGGAACACACACCCCTGCTCCTAACTGCTGGATCTAGAAAAAATAATCAGCGTAGCAATAGGGCTGAGAAGCACTTTTTAAGCGGAGAACCTGTAGCCTTTAAAAAAAAAAACTAAAAACTAACAAGAATCCATAAAACCTTTGCCTCCATGCTTCTGACCGCTTTTTAAAAATTCTCCCTCCACTTAAAAAAAATATCTTCCACCTTAACCAACAATATAATCTGGTTGGGGTGGACGGTGGAGGGGGGAACGTTGCTGAGACTTAAGGTTGTGTGAGGCTCTTTGATCTGCACCCTGATGAGGGGACATTCCCCTCTGCTTCCAGCCAACTAATGAAGGGCTGAAATTAGCTTTTATCCTGGGCACTTTCTTGAGCAAAAAAAAAGAAAAAAAAAACCATGCACTAATCAGCTGTCCTCACTAATCAGTCATCTGGCTAATGACCTTTCGCCTTAAAACACTAAAAATTTCTGAAGGCTGTGGAAAAAGGGGAAACAAAAAACAGTCCCCGTCTCTGGAGCTCAATGGATCATCTGGAATTGGAGCCGGGAAGGTTAAATGGAAGGTCTGTATCCTGGCAAGGTGATAAATCTGTAATCAAGAGCTGTATGCTTTGGCACCTCAATATGAACTTCATTACTTCACAACCAAATTATATTTTATTTTAACTCGAAACAGGCCAGAAAATCAACTCAACCCTTATATGTATATTTTTTTCTTTCCATCCCGCCTTTGGAGAAAACCACTGTCTATGTGTGTTGGGAGTCCTAGTTAATTTCTTAGACTTTATGAATGCTGGAAAAGCTTCCGGTATGCTGATTAGAGCAGAAAGCAGAACACGTAGAAAAACCTTCCCCACTGAGGAACTGAGCCCCGGTTTGTTCAAAGAGGTTTGTTCCCCGCCAACCATTAAGCAAAAAATTTTTTTTAATCATTAAAAATAGGGCCACTGAATTATGCTGTACACCAGAAATTGACACATTGTAACTGACTAGACTTCAGTTTGAAAAAAAAAAGACTGGCTGCCTGCTTGTGCAGCTCACTTTAGTAACTCCCCCCATCCACCAGTCTTCCTCCAGCAGCGTCTACCTGGGTGGAGCAAATCTGGTTCTACTTTTTTGGAAAGGCCCACGTGGATTCGCCACAGATGGACGCCTTCCCGCGGGCCGCCCCACTGAGACCAGAATTGCTTAGGGATGGAAGGAGATGTCAGTCCCGATAAAGAAGAAAGGACAGGACGTGGGAGAAATAGAAAAGTGGACAGTAAATTGAATTTTGCATAAATTTATAACAAGTCAAATCACTCATAAAGCACGCATGTGCGCACACACGCGCACACACACGCAGCCTGCCGTGGCCCCTGGACCAAGCGTCTAGGGGCAGGGACCACTTACGGTAGTGAGGCTCCATGTAGCCGTTCCTGGGGTCCATGGCGAACACGGCCCCGCGGTAGGGGACGGAGGGCTCGGCCAGGTGTGGCAGGGACCCATGGGTCTCCTTCTTGATCAGAGAGGCCCTCTCATCACTGGAGGTGGAAGGCTCCTCGCTGATCTTGCCGAGTCCCTGGACACTCTGTGGCTGCATAGTGACCGCGTTTCTTCTCTCTCTGTGATAGGTCTGTCCAGGACTTTCATCCTCTGAAGAAAGAAGGGAGACGGAAACTCTGAGAACACTTTCAGGAGCAATTCAAACAGGAGGGTCATGTTAGGGCTCCCTCTCCATCCCTCCCCACCACCCCAAAAAGAAGCGGATTTCTCATTCTTGGCAACTTTGAAAGCTACATCTTGATGGGATATTCTCAAGCCCAAACTGCTTATGAATGAGGCTCCAAAATACAAATGGAAGGAAGAAGTGGGAGAGCGGGAAATGAGCCTATGAAATTGAGATGCAGGGGTCAGCAAATTCTCATCACCAGCTCCCAGCTGAATTTGCCAGTGCAGCTCTCCATCAGGGATTTGCCAGTATCCCCGCGGGTCCCACATGGAGCTAGAAGTTTGGCCAGCCTAAGGCTGCAGGAGTCCAGTGTGCCCTGGTCTGGGGAAGCCAGGCCTCCGGGTGGTCCAGGAGGCGAGGGGCCTCTGTCCTCCAAGGAGGGCCTGCTGGAAAGTGATCCCAAAGGTTTTGTGGTTTTGTTTCCTTGAAAGACAGATTTGTAACCCACTGAGAGATTTAACAAAGCCAGAGACGGGACAGAAAACCCATTGGTTACAAGGGATAAAGGTGCCAAGCATGGAAACCCACAGCGCCCCTTGAAGGTCATTTCCTGCTTCAGCCCACAGCACAGAGCTGAGAGCTAAGAGGAAAACGGGGTGAGAGTCGGGCTGAGGACAGTGTCAGTATAGCTGATCGATGTACACGCTCTGGTGGGCTCCAGACATCACTTCAGACGTGTAAGAAATGGCTTGATGAAATTCCACATATATCTGACATCCCAGCTCCCTAATACTTCTGTTCCCTTTCATCAGTAAAAACTTTCCATCCATCCGCTAGGGTTCTTGGCAAACGTGACCGGATGACCTTTCTAGAACTGCAGATCAAAGAACCGATGCATAAAATCAAGCCAAACTGGTGATCTGAACCCACAACAAGTGGACCAATTCGTCTGCTGGAATCATGTGCACACACGCTTTAAGTGGTGCCCACACCAGCTCTGTGTTTCATCCACAGACTGTGCTCTGGCAGGTAAGTTCTGATGGAAACAGAGCTTTGGGGACCCTGCTTAGACATCTAATTTGAAAGCTGTTTCTCGTTCCTGATCCTAAAAGCAAACAAACAAAAAACCCACTATATTTGGATATAAATAACAATATTCTTGTACTATTTAGATGAACAGATTTTGAACTCAACTCATCCCAAAATACAAACTTAGCTTCAGAGTATCCCCAAAAGCAGGTATGTCTGGCTGAGAGTCCCCCCAGAAAACAGAAAAGGGATGCTTTTTAGCAGTTTCATAAGTCTTTTTTACCAAGTCAGAAGCAAGTACAGCTATAAACACAGACGAGTGGGAAAACACAAACTAAAGTAACAACTACTGTTTTGTGATGACGAATAATCGAAATCACCTAAAGCCAGCAGCAACTCTCGTCTTTCTGCCTATGTCTGAGACTTGAAGAAAGAAGCCATGTATTTTTTCTTAGCCCAGCAAATGACTTCCAAAACAGAGCAGATAATGAGGTATGTTCTGGTCTTAGCAGTGATTTTGCTGACTACTGCTGGGTAACTGTGAAACACTATGTGAAATATTATTTTAGCGTTGTTTTGTGCAGATCCTCACCCCTAAACCTTGTAACAATGGGCTATATAATGAGTTTAATCTATCAAGTAACTACTGAAAAACGGAAAGGATGTAATCCCACATTTTCAGACACTGGTCTTTGCAAGAGCAATTCATATCATGCTTTGGTTAATTTAAAAACAAACAAAAACCTCTACATTTTAATTTTCCCTTCTGACTAATACTTTTAGGCACCATACTCATATTTCACGAGCAGTAAGTGGCAGGCTATGGTAAAAGGGTTTGCAGTTAGGTAAAAGCAGAAGGGTGTCAAAAACACTAAAACTCTTAGTTGGTTTTATGAAAATTCCTATAACGTGCAAATGGCCAAAGTCATATTTTCCACTAATTTGCGCCTCCATAAAACCTTCATTTCCAGTTGCAACCTCAAGTCAACTTGCAGCACTGAGGTGCAAATTCTGTAGAATGGACCCTCACGTGGAAAGCCAGAAAGCCCCTACTTACCAACTTACGTAATTAGCATTCTCTGCGAAAGATGAATAACCAAGCTCAACTAATCTGTTTCAGGTTTCAAACAGGATTCCCTTGACTTAATCTTCCTAGAAGAAATTAACTTTTCTTCTCTTAAAAAACTGCATCCCATAATAGAGCGAGTTTCTTAGAAACTATGCCTTTACAAGGAGCATTTGAATCCAGCTTCACGAATAATTGAATAATTGGCATGGTCTGCCTAGAGTCCCCCCACTTCCCCCGCCCCAATCTCCTGGGAGAAGGAAGTTGTGGGCGGGGGAGAGGAGGGGATGAGTGGAAACTGGGGTGTCTTCTTAGCTAAAAATCACTTTCTTCCTGAGAGGTGATGCAACGTGTGTGCAGATTAAGGTCATAATAAGAAATGAGCGGAGTTCAAATATTCAATACCGAAAAAATTAACTCATTCCCTTAGTAAAGTCAAATGCAGGCCAGATTTTTTTTTTTAATGTGGAAACTTTCATCAGACTCATTTTTCACAAGAGTCGATGCTCCCACATTTTCACCTACCCTCCCCTCTCCATAAAATCGCAGTGGATCATTGTTTCATAAAGTTTACCTCGTGTACCGATTTGCTTCTGAGGGGCATTCAGAGGAAAACTTGACAGTCCCCACGCTCCAGGATACAAACAGCTCTGAGGCTTGAAAGCCGGCTCTCCACAGTGAAAGGGAAACTTTCCAAGCAATATTCCTGCCTGCTCTTATAAATTTAGCAAGCACTTCAGCAAAGCCAAAAGGCGAGAGCTGTCTAATCTTGTTCAGTTGAGCCGAGCTGTTCAATAAAGTTTGAGAGTCAGTGCAGACAGGCTACGCCAGGCCAAATTATTGACAGAAACATACTGTCCACCATGGCAACAGGCAGAAGTCGGCTGCAGAAATGTAAGCAAACAGCCCAGTCCTCCAGAAGCATCTGCCAATGGACTTGAACAGCCAGACAGACACAAGGGGACTGTTCATGCCTCTCTCCATCAAATAGCCAAGCTCCGGGGCGGGGGGTGGGGGTGGGGGGTGTCACACCCAAACGTGCAATTCACTAAACGGCTTCAGGAGAAAATTATTTTAAACACCGTCATCCAGAACCCACTCGGTAGCCCCTTCCTTCTGTGTTATCTGTGCTCCGGTGAAAGTTAAGGAATTCCTGCCCACCAGCATCCAGCTTTAGAAACTGCCGCAGACTTTCCAAACTCATCCAGAGGCAACCCACATCGCCTCGGATACTCTTGGTGCCATAAACTCTAAAAACTCTCAAGTGGCTTCGTCACCAACACAGCTTAGACCGTTGACAGGGCAAGTTTAAAGGAAGTTAACTGTGTTGCGTGCAGCGGGACTCGAACACACACTCTTGTGCGTTTATTTGCTCACAAACCGCTACACGGTCTCTTCACACAGCCCAGGAAACAAGCGCTCTTTTACCTCGGGCTGGAGATCAAAGTTTCAGGCGATTCTTCCAGGCAGAGAAGTAAAACCCTGCACCGCATCACTCGCTGGGAGCACCTCCTGTCACCCTGAGCGGGCGAGGAGCCCACTGCACACGTGCTCACCTTTTTGAAATGAACGTGGATTTTTATGCCTATCCCTGAAATCCCGATTTAACACCATCACTCCTGCCTTCCCCCAGGACGCAGAGGACACGGAGCGCGTTAAGAGAACAGGCGGTACTTACAACTCGGTCCCAGGCTCTGGCTAGCTACTTCCTGCAAACTTCTCTTGGTGGGCTTTCTCTGGCGGTGCAGACCCTCTCGGAACATTCTCCGTGTCTCCCTGCCTCCCTGCACCCTCGCCCTCTCCCTCTCCCAGGCAGGGCTGCTCCCATTAGAGGAATTAAAAGTGGTTGGAGCCATGCTAAATTTAACAAGCTCATTAGTATTCTCTCTGAGTGCTTCCCAGTGAACTCTCTCTATTCAAGCCGCTCTCTCCAGCAGAAGGGTCAGGCAGCTAATCATTAAATCAAACTAATGTCACCCTATCACAATCAGCCCGAGAGAAGGAGGGTTTATTATTTCAGTTTATGCTAAATAAACGGTTTTACAAATGGTCCCCAAGCAAGGTCAACAGCAGCTTCAATTACAAGACAAACTTAACAAGAGTTGCAATAAACCAAGTGCCCGGTATTGACTTAAGAACAGGCTGGACGCCACGTCTTGCCACTAGCGGGGTTGTCCAGGAATGCATATTGTAAAATAAAGGAAGAGGGGAGAAGCTTCTTTCTTTGCCAGAATTTGCGACTGCACAGCGACTACTCATTCACCTCTCTCCAACCAGCTAGCTGCTCAGCTCAATTCACCCCACACAAAGGCTGGAGCCCAGACCTCAATGGACCGAGTGAAACATGTTCAGAACTAGGCTCTCTATTGTGACTGAATTTCTTAACATCTTTTCAAAAAGCGGAGAATGCCTTGAGGCTAAAGGAAGAAACAGGCTAATGGTGAATTGGGAATTCTGAGCAAATTTCAGAGCCCTTTCCTCCTAGCTTTTGAGGTTGAAAGCAAGCTCTTTCCTTTCAAGTTTCAAAGTCCTTTTTCCTCCCGCAGTGTCACAGAAGGATTTGAAAAGAAGGTAATTGTGCTCGCAGTCTCCCTGATCAGAGCTTACGTCCTATTTCTGGTATTTCGGAATACTTCTTGCAATAATAGCGCATATAGCTCAATCCCTTAACCGGCCTGCACTCTGCAATTGCTCATTAAATGAACAATTGCGGGTATAAAATGCCTTTTATGTTCAAGGTCTGGATATAAGATAAGCATTCTAGGACTCTAAATTTGGTTTACTAAGGAAACTCTCCATCATTAAATTACAAAACTGAAGTCAGAATATCAGGCTTTCCCAGAAAAGTGGCACTCAGGTTTCGGCGAGCCCCAAGGAGGGGCAGATGGA